AGAACTAACGTGAAAAAGAAACAATGTAGGAAATATCCATAAACTGGGCAAGTCTGCACTGAGCACATTCTAGCCTTGTCTCATTATCTTTGTTTTCCTCCAGACCTTATCACCACTAAGGAATTTAATCGCAAAAATGACAAGTAGCTGAAAGTATGAATCAGACCGGCATCAAATGAGAAGCCATAGGAAAAACACCTACCTACACAACCCTGACAAATACAAATATAACAAGTCCCCGAGAGTCTCAGTGCAGGCATGGGCTGCATAAGTTTGCTTGCACTGAAATCTCCACCTTTGGATGGGTTGCAGCATCCTGCAGGCTTCTTATCATCCAGCGTCCAAAGGCTCCACTATTTTTAATGAAGAGTTTAGACACAAATTCATTCCAAGCTCTTGAATTTTCAGATAATTGAGATTTTTCACTGGTGAATATGATAACAAGCCCTAGCACAGAACTCCAGCCTAGCAAACAGAGGAGTTGAGCAGTGCACCCGTGCCCATCCCTGCACGAACACCACAGCAGGGCAAGGCTGAACACATGCCCAGGCACACACATGGACAGCTGCACTTTTGCTTGCTGTTGACAAGAAATTTGGCCCTCCCCTGCCATTTTTTTTTTTAAAGGCTCTCATAGGGATCCAACTCCTGCAACAAGGCACTAAAGAACATCAATATTATGATCCACACTGTACCCCTCCAGGAGAAGCTAAGAGGGTGCCAAAGAAGAGAGCCCGGAGAAGGCTGCCCTGCACTGTCCTTGGAGCCAGCATCTCAGGAGAGGTGCAGTACAAAGGGAAGTCCCTGCTTGCAGGACTGTGGCAATCTACCTACAAAAAAATACCGCCTTTATACTATTAACTGCTCACATTTCTCCAAATTCTCTCTGTCAAACCACAGCAGAGAGCCCTAATAAGGGAAAACACATCCCCCTGAGCCCTAACAGACCAAGTATAGAGATGTTTGCTTGTGCTCATTAAAAACATGGAATGTTTAATCTAATTGCCACTGCTTTTCAAGCTGCTTCAACAACACAACTTATTACACTATACTTCAGATATGTGCTTTGAGGAGATTTAATTCTTATCTTTAGATGTGCTGATAGCACAAAGAAGCCTGGCTGATTTACTGAACAGCACTGTGCCTTTGATAATAGTATTCGCCTTAGCTTCTTCTGCGATTAGAAAATTTGCACAGGCACAAAGCCTAGGTCGTTAAATTGAAGGACTTAATCTCTGACTTTGCTTAGTGTATGAAGTGCCAATCTTTGTACTGTTTTCCAGCACTTGAAAGGAGGCACTTACTTACAACCAAATAATGTTTTCCATCCTCTCCTCCTGGCTTACCAGCCTCTCCCCCCTCTAGGAACAAGCTTGATGCTCTCTGCAGGCCTTTGTGCTTCAAGGTAGTAATTTTGAGGAAAGCACTTAACTCAGTCTTACAGATAATTCTCATACTTCTATGAAGCATTAAAAAAACCCCAAGAAAACATACGAACAGCTTTGAGGGGGTGGAAAGCACTCCAACAAAGAGATGAAGCCCAGGGAGAAGGGGTCTGAGGTCTCCATTCATGAAGGTTTCGCACACGCTTTATGCCCGATGAGAGCAATCCTCAGCAGATTGGACTGGTTCTGCAGCACACTTCATTCCTGGTCATTAAAATTCCAGCCGGAGCTCTCCTTCTGTTCACTTGCCAAAACAGTCAGAAGTTACTTGCCTTGCATTACCTCTTTCCAGAAGCATCAATACCCAGCTGCCTTCTCATCCTCACAGGGGAAACTCCCAGCCATTAGACAGACAACCCTATCTATAGCTTAAAAAGCATTTCTGCTGAGACAGCTATGTTCCCCAGCAGCCTGAAAACACAGCCTGCGGGTCTCCACCATGGCTTTATATTTGCCAATCAGTCAGCTAGTGACATGGCTACCCTGACGGATGCAAACAAATAGATCTGTCATTGGAAGGTGTGCGTTAAACAGCTCATTTGCATCACGTGGCCGCAGACGGCAGCATGTGGAGACACAGTAATTTTCTTTGTTTTAGCTACATATTTGGATGGAAGTGAAGAAACTGAAGAACTACTCTAAACACGGTTTGAATCAGTGTGAGGAAGACACAAGTGCTGCAGCAACCCTTCAGGTGCCCACGATAGAAGAAAAAAAAAAAAAAAGATCTGCTCGATGACTGTGCTCTAACTGGTGTCCTCCTCCACTGAGTAAATCCACCGGAGCAGTGCCTCTGAACTCACTGGACAAGATCCACAGCTCGCAGAAAACAGCGCTGCCAGTTTCAGCTGAGTCATGTGAATTCATCCCAACCAGCTCCTGCCCACCCCAGGAATCCGGACATTCCAGTCTTTTAATAGATGTCTGAACTGGCATGACGGCTATTGGGTCTTTCTACAGTGCTTCAGAGGCAGGGAAAGCGTTAATCATGCAAGTATCCAACATCAGTGCTATGCCTGACCTCCACAGAAATCCAAATCCTGGTACACATCTCCCTGTCAAATTCCTTATTTCCCCTCTGACCTTCCTTTAGCCAGCGCACAGCAAATCACTCCAGAAGCATGAGGGCTGTCTAGCTGCAAAGCCAGCATCCCAGATATATCTATCCATCATTTTACGACGACAAGACTAAAAATACTTTAATCGTCCACTCAGGTTATGTCTGAAATTATTAATCCTAGAGTATTGCTGTTAAAGTTCATCAAACATTTTCTGGTTTGCATCAGATATTCTGCACAGATGTTACTATGTTAAGAGCTCATTTTTGGCAGATTATTCAGTACTTCAGATTTAAAAAGAACAAACAAAACATAAAGCCACTTGAGACAGGTAGAAGTCTTCCCTGATTTTCTAACTCTGATTACTCTGGGGTCTACAATCTGAGATTTCTTCCATTCCAGAAATGACTGGAATACAATGTCTAATAAAGTTCATACGTGGAACTGCTTAGGCAGGCACTTGTTTTCCTTCAAACTCCTGAATCTTCTTTTTCACCTCAATTCCTTTACCCTTGCACAGGAATCTCATTTCTCCGTGTTTTTGCATGCAGTCTGAACATTTCACTATTGCCACTGCACCAGCCTTAAGTCTCGCATTAACTAGCATCCAGCATACTTGAGGTGTACACACAGCAGCCACACATTTCATTCCCAATTATTTCTTAGCAAGATGTTCTAAAGGAAATGAAGCAAAATTGTGGTTTTCCTTCATTAAAGCATATTTCTTGTTTATAGTTCTTCAAAACACACACCTTGCCAACCCTTTCTGGATCAGAGAAAGCTACAAACCTTTGCCCTATTCAACTAACCAGTTTCACACAAGACAAAGAGAACCACAACCACATTGTGGGTTTTGATAGTAAAATGTAGTGAAATTGGTGCTTGAACTGAGTGAAACTTCAAGCTGAGTTTTGCCAAAGACACAGTGCTGCCATCAGATTTGAATCCATGCTTGAAAACCATGGACCAAAGCTTTGGCAAGAATTCACAGTGACAGAGTAACCACCACTTACCTGGCAGAAGACTTTGCTCTGCAATTGCAAGGAAATAGCTAATCATTTTCAGACAGACAATAATTGCAAACCTCAGCTTATATGTGAGTGACTAATGGGTTTTTCTTCTTCCTTAAAGTGTACAAAGATATATTAATACAGAAAACAGTGATTTAATTCTAGCAATTCCTCTGTGACTGGAGTGTCCAAACACTGATCCTCCAGCAGCTCTGTAATGGTCCTACAGCTACCTCATCTTTAAATCAAGAGGGCCAGGTATATCACTTGCTATAATGGGCATATATAAAGAGGCAATATTGCCCTTCTTGGCTGCATTGCCATGGGGCTTCATAATGGCAACTAAGAACAGTATTTCCCCCAAATTTCTTTAGTTCCAAAGTCCAGAGGAATGAAATAGAGTTCGAGCTTTTGCCAAAAGTATTCCAAGCTAAAACCACAGCAGCGACACCCTGCTAGAGGAGCAGCGGATGGGTGTGGGGTTTAGTGGATAATCCTGGATGGACTTGGGAACCCGCCAGATTTACCAGTGGTATGTACTGATTTATGTCCTCCAACTTCTTTCATGTCAACTATCTAAAACCTGCTTTGCGAATCTGAGCCTGTGTGTGGCTGGGTCGCATGTAATCATGGAAGATTTCATTTGCATAACTCTGTCCTTCTACTGTATTGCAGCTTTATCAATAACTGAGGAGTCACATGAACTGGAGAAGCCAAGGTGATGGCCAGTTGTTTTGGGGTTTTTTTTTGTGGTGCTCATCTTTTGCAGCATATCTGTGCAAACCATGGCAATGTCTGTCACTGCTAAGCTGACTGATTGCAAGACTCTCTCCTAACAGTTCTACCAGTGCAAAGCACAACTAGTTTAAATGAAGTAAGAAAAAACAGTACTAAAAACCGTAAATGAAATTATGCAAAATTAAACAGATTGCAAGGGAAAAAAGTAGTAGCTAAAATGGATATACCCCGCTTTTAAATAATGCTAGGAGAAAGCATGGAAAATAAGTTCAGCACAGCCTACAGTTTTGCTGTACTGAGTCCTAACATTTTAAAACTTTATGTAAAAAAGAAACAGTGATTGCAATGCTGTTTGGATTACAGAAGATGCAAAGCTCTGTGCACATTTTGATGTATTTCTGCACTTTATATATATGGGAGATAAATTATGTGTGCAGCAACTAGTACAAACAAATGAACAAGAGCCAGAGCTCTTCTGGAGGGATTTCAGGGACAGCAGGCCAGGACTTACTTGAATTCTGTTTCAAAACTTTCTGGAAAGAGAAATGTCTCTGCACATCAAAAAAGCTGGAATAAAGTGAAAGCAGAGGCCTCTCTTTGCATCAGTAAGTGCCAGCCATTAACACCTTGCCTCCGCGCTCTCAGAAATTGCTGAGACATTTGAAAGGTCACTTGTGAATAACCTGGGAAATTGCTAAAGCTCCAAACCTTCTGAAAACAGAACATTTTCTAGCAATATAGGACAGTACCTATTGAAGTTGATCGGGTACAGGATAATATCCTCAGGTGCTCTGCCGTCCCACTGGATGATATAAGCCTGCTCGAGCATGACGACGGGCTGGTACTGCTGGTATGGTGCTCCTCTGTTCACGCCTTGCAGCCACAAGGGATGGGAATGGTATGCTGCTCTGGCAATGGATAAGGTCAGATTCTCGGGGCGTCTGGCCTGAATATAAAGCTGAGGGTGAAAGGAAAATGACAAACATATCCATTAAACCAGCCAGACGCAGCCATAACATGTGCATTTGATCATCGTTGCCTGTAAATGGTTTTTGCCAATGAAGAGCTCAGAACATTTGGAAAGTCACTGAAATATTTCCAGTTCAAATAAAAAGGTAAAACAGAAATAGCATCTGCAGCCATTTGTGGGGACACCGTGAAGTGACATATGAATTGTACAGCGCCATAAAAATGTTTACTATTCAAAATCTCAAGGGAGAAGGGTAATCAAGGAAATATCACAAAGTAACTCTTTTTTTATGAATTCAAATAGCTGCACTTTAAAAACAGGCTATTCCATTGAAAATATAGAAAACTCTTCAGTTATTTCAACAGGCTTTGGATTAGGTCCAGTTATCTAATGGAATCCACATCTTTGCTTTTGAGCAGCAGACTAGACTGAAATTTTGGGGGCTAAAACTCGATGGCCTGGCTATATGACCTTACGGACTAAATACCATGTTCCACAGGCTTCACCTGAGAGCTCTTCTGTGCAGGGACCAAGAGGTGCCCTTGGCTTGTAGTTTGGCTCCACAGACCAATTACAAAACTACTCTCCCAGTTGTGTGCTTTTTCTGTCCTGCCATCACACAAATGAAGGCCAGTTCATGTAGCAAACACTAGTTTAAGGCTGAACGCATGATGTTCACCTGCTTCCCCCCCGTGCGAAATTCCAGTGCAAAAGGAGGATGCGCAGCTAGTCATAGAAATCTGTCTCGACATGCGTGGTTGTGGCAGACACCTTGTCATATTCCCTGAAGGGTTTCTAATACACCAAGGACAGGTGAGGACACCTATAATCCTGCTTCCTTCACTTTGCTACAGTGTAGAATAGCACTTTTTGCATCAGGAACTTAAAACATCCAACATAAAAATCCACGTTAGCTCAGAAATGTCTAAGCTCCTACACGAGCATCCATCCAGCAAAATTATTTTTAAACTCAATTTCTGTCTTTGAGGTAGATCAAAAGGGAGGCAGCAATTTCTTAAGAGATTTTAATACCACAGGCAAGGATACAAGTACAGCCAAGACTAGCAGAGAGGGCAAGACTCCATCTTTTAGGATATCCGCCTTCTAATGCAGGGCTATGAGACCTTGGCCCCTCACATCTCCGTATCTGCTTCTCTTCCTCTTGTCTACACAGACTGAAAGCTCTGCAAAAACAGACTATCTCTCACTGGGCTTATTTCAGTTGGAGTTTCGAGCCAGTTCAGCTCCCAGTTCCAGTTTCATGCCCAGAAGGACTCTACGCTTGCGCCTGCTCCTGGCATGGAATTTGAGCTCCTCAAGACCTCCAAAAGTCAAGCCATCTCTGCCTACCCCTCACTTCACCTCTGAATTCAGCAGCCTCGTGCTGAATGCTCAAGTAGTTAAAAATTTGGGTCTCGTGTCAGAAAAATTAATCCAAAAGTGGTTGTAAATGTTTCTTGGGTATCCAGTCCATTCCTCCTTTCAAACTATTGCACTTTAATGATGAGATCCTATCCTGAGTGGTATCTGCAGACTCTTGGAGATTAAAGTGGATCCCAGAATTGCATTAAACACAAGCTTTTCTTGATGGCTGGAACTATTGATCAAGTAATTCACCCCAAACAATCTCTGAGCAGCAGCCCATTTGCTCATTCTTGATGGATCAAGGAAGAATAAATTATTTTTACAGTCTGATAAAAGACCTTTTTTATATATGAAACCAAGGAGGAAAACCTATTTTCCCTTCACATTCAAACCATGATTGAAAATTCAGTAGCGTGCAATGCAATAAACCACATTTCAATCTAATTTGTCCCCACCTGGACTGGGAAATGCTGAGGTCAGAGCAGGCGATCAGTAAGGTCCCTTTGGACCTGAAATCCCATCAATGTATTAATTGTTCTCAATCAAAACAGCATTTTCTGATAAAGACCGGTTGGAATGAACTCTGATACTGCAAAATAATAGCCCACTTGTGTCTTTCTGGATAAGAGGGAAGAGTTTCTGTCCTATCACAGCAAACTTTGACATTATTTCCTTTTAATGTGTCTCCAGCAAGCAGAGAATATTAAGGTGGTAGCTGCTGTGCACTTATTACAAAACTAAATGCACCAATGAGAAAATAAACCAAGAAAGGAAGGAAATACATTCAAGGAGCCCCAAAAGTTCCTAAATTACAGACTGCCAAGAACAAAAGATTCCTATATACTTCAAGGTATTTGTGCAAAAAGAAAAAAAGAGAGACTGCTCTGCATGGCCTAAGCTGCTCACTATGACAATTGTTAATGAGTTCAAGAAAGTGCTGGAAGAGTTTACAGTATCCTTCAATAAGATGATGAGGGAAGCATGTCAGAGATTTGTTGGTAACGTTTCCCCCCAAGTGCCTAGAGACCAAGTTACAGGTCTGACATTAAGGATAATGGTGACAGCTGTTTTGAGAATGAAATAGGAATTACTAGAACAAGGAAAAATGCCACTTCTGTGTCGATAGAAATATTTGTAAACTGACTTTATTTCCTGCAATGACCAACAGTTGCCACTAAATGAATGCCTTCCAGAACTACAAGCCACCAAGGATGTGATTTTCAGTCCCACAGAAATACAGTAGTATATATCTGGTGGATCTCGCAAAATGTTTGTCACTAAAGGAGGTTACAGTAGGTAAATACCCTGATCAAGCAATCTAGACCCTACATGAAGAGATTCTTTTGCCAAGGTGGAGTATCACTAAGTCAACAGGACTCTGGGAGCAGGGACTAGCTGAGATGTTTCCTGCAGCAAGCGAGCTCAGGTCTGGAACAACAGTCCTAGTGGCTTGGTCCTTCTTGAACACACCAAGCTGCACAGAAAGCAGCACCCCACATTTTCCCATTCATCCCTTTCTCTGGGCCTCCCCCCTCATTTGAGGGAACAAGGGACAAGAGGGGAATCCAATCCCTGTCCATGAAATCCCTGACCTCCCTTCTGTGATGCTGACTCGTGTCAGTCCTAGAACTTGTTTTTTGTTACCCCTTCAGGACTGCAATCAATCTTTTTTACTTTAGAAAAATCCCAGAACAGTCATCCACCAAAAGACTGCTTTTAATTCCCAACAGGATGAATGAAGTAAAAATAATCCTTTGAGCTCTGCTGGCCCCAGGTAGGTGAAACATCAGCCACAATCCCAGCATCGTGCTCTTGGGATGTCACAACATGGCCTCTTTCTTCCTCAGCCTTTACTCTGTGACACCTTTACTCACTTGAACTGAACTTGGAAAACTTTATCACTTTTCTTCCTTGTATCTTCCTTCGGCAGGGCAAAACACTTGCGAATAGGAGTGAAAAGGAAAGTAACAAGAGAATTTTTTTTCTGTAATGAAAAATCCATCTTCCTTAGCAACACCTCCATAATTTTTTGTTAGATCTACCGAAATATTTAAAAGAAGAAAGTGGGTTGTAAAGATACTTTAAAATATGAGAAGTGGTGACAGCTTAATGTAGTAGTAGGAGAAGAGCTAGTTAAAACATTATAAAATGTGAGCCTTCTACTTGCCTGGATGGTTTAATGGACATAGTTGTCATTTTAGCTGCTTAACACTTCATGCTAAAAAGATGTGTCAGATTTCCCTGTGCTTACATGGCAATTTTCCCAAGTAGGTTGTGAAACTGAGAAGATAAGTTCTTTTACAATTCTTGGGGGATCTACTATTCAACTGGATAGCGAGTATGAAGATAAGCAACATACAAAGTATTGGAACAGAAAATCTTGGTTTCTGAGAAAAGGTTTGCTTGCTTGTTTCTTTAACATTGCTTTTGTTCTGCTGTGCTGTCAGCTGTGAAGCTGGGGCAAAATGAGAAGTTCAAAACACACCTTCTCCTCTTCTGGTTGGTTGACTGTTCAAAAAAGGTTAATTTCCCAGGGCAAAACATTTTCTCTATGAAGTGTCCAAGTGAAGACCTTAAAATTCTTTCAGAAAGAAAAAAAAATGTATCTTTCTTTCTATAAGATATGCTATGACCAATTTTGGTCCTAAAAATGACAGCAGCTTCACTGACATCAGCCAAACTACTTTGATTTTGCATTGGTGCACATCAGAAATCAAAATTGGACCTCTTTGTCCAAATACGGACACTGTCAGCTGAAAAATATCTTGCAGGCTTTTCCTTTCTCCCAGTCTGTGAGGTGCTGGCAATCCTCAAGCATCGCAGATATCCTGGGATTGTACGGTTTTGCCTACGCTTAGAAAAGTGCCGTTCACTACCTACTGCATCTCTTGCTTGCTTTACCTTTAGAAGTATCAGTACCAAAACCAGCTACGCAGGCACTGAATACACAAGCAGCTACCAGCTGAAGGTACTTGGAGATGCGGGATCAGTGCAATTGCAAACATTCACTGCAAGAACGGAGTTAACAAAGGGGAGGAGTTTCTGTTTCAGCAGCCTGCAGTAAGGTAGTGACTAAGTGAACTGGTGAAAAATCAACAGCATCGCCTACAGTATTTAATAATAGCAAGGCATCAATTTTTCAGTAATTCAAAACTGACACTAATTTAGCAATGTAGCAGTCTCTTATGACTGTCTAACACCTTTTTAAGCTTATAAAAGAAAATAGCATGTACTGCCAAACACTCTGCTTATTTTAATAAAGACTAATACCACAAAAGAGAAGTTTCACAGCCTCTCCTGATGAGTTGCTGTGAAGTCTGCAAAGAAGCAGTAGGTGCACAGCTTCAACTGCCCAATGGGAGCTAAGGCAGTTCTCTTACGATTTATATAAAAATTGGAAATTATTTAGGAATCTCATTTATATTTTAACAAGTACTGCAGGTGTTGAGGAGTCTCCAGCGCCTTTGGAAATCTCACCCACCTACACAGAGAGAACTATGGAATGAGTCTCTCCCTACATTTTTCTTTTATTACTGGCCTTTGCAACAGCTGAAAGTCAGGTTGTTGGGACACAGAGGACCTCAGCGCGCTGCTGACGGAGTCTGAGTGACTCACAGAGATTGCCAGAAGATGTGGTGCTGCCAATTCGAGATTTCCTGCGAGTATCCCTCTACTTGGTGTTCTTCCTCAAAGCCTCACTTTATTTACATTACATGAGAGTTTCTGCTGTCATTAAGAAGCAAAGGAGTTGGTCTTGTTTGGACAACACCAACCCTATAAGCTCCAGAATGAAAAACGGAGGACAAAAAGACCTGATAGTTCTTGCTTGTGTTAATTTCACGATTTTAAGCTGGTCTCAGAACCCTTTTTCGGTAGTGAACTGCAACATTGGAGCCAAAGCATGAGGAATTTCTTAGTGCTCCCTGCTGAAGGAAGGTCTTGGACATCATATGGGGAAGGTGCCATGATGCTTCTTGGAGACGGTGAGGAGGAAGGACCATGAGCCAACCGTACGAAGGTGGGAATGTCAACCTGAGCTACCAGATTAAAACGCCCGCAGGAAAGTCTCTCCCCAGGATTTTGTGGAGCTAAAAACGCTGCCAGAGGAATAGGTTGTCCCCAGGCATTTCCTTTCCTGGACAAATTACATCCAGGAGAAGATCAGCATGAAAAGTGAATGAAAGAAACCAAGCAGAAAGGAATTAACTGAACTCTAGGCACTTTGTTCAGAAAGGATTTGCGTGCAATGTTAGCTGAAGGACTTGGATCTCATTCTTCCAAGCCAAGTAGCCCATCCCTGGGCTGACTATCTTGGGCCCAGTTCAGCAGTAACGTAAGAGTCACTATTTCCTTGAACTGAAAGGACATTTTCACCTGCTCGCACTAGGGAAGAATAAAAGTTCTTGTGTACCAGAGCCACATGAAGAGGAAAAGAAAAACAGATTTTGTAACAGAGTTGCTAAGATCAAAGCAAACCATCTTTCTCCATAATTAGATTCATTCTTTTAGACTTCTGATCTAAAATATGAAAATCAGAATTTAGCACACAAACAAATCATCAGTCTGTCAAGGTGCTGAGAACCAGGGTTAAGCTGAAATGTTCCAACATATATACCCTCCAAATTAGATCAAACCCTGCTGCACGGGACCGATTTCTTCTACCCTGCACACATATATAGTTCCCTACCCAAAACCCATAAAGTGAAGCATTTTAAATGAGCTTTACTCATCCTGCTGGATGCTGATTAGTTGAAAAATGCTAGTAAGTAACAGATCCCAGGGAAGCAAATGTTTATGCTTGCCTAAACCCAGCCAAGGAAATTTTCTATGGTGGAAAAACTGCCTCACCACATAGAGTGCCATAACCGGGAGGGTATTAATAGAAATAAAAATATAAATGCCTACTTGTTTACAGTTCTGAATTTAACTGTTAGGTTGCCAGAGCAGAGAATATCATTTCTCTAGAGACACAGAGCAAAACATAAGTGCCAAGCACAAAACCCTGATTCAATGGGAGTGTTTCGTAGGAGCCCAATCCTGTTTCTGCCTAGTCAATAGCAAACCAGGGGGCATAAGTCCAGTGTCAAGGCACTTAAATAGCAGCTCCTGCTCTCTGCTGTGCAATTAAAGCAAATGCATTTTATTTTTATTTTTTTAGCTTAAGGACACCTGCATAATCTGGATTTGGCGGTGCACATATTATGTAGGCATAGAGGTCTCAAAGATAACTGCATTCCTAAGAGTTTCATACATAAAGTTCCTTGGAGAAAGGGGAGCAGAGTGTTGTGTCTGACTACCCACACATTACTACACATCAGAGAAGCCACACAGAAAGCACCTTCAGAAATCTCCCAGTGTGGAAAATCTATGACTCTAGGTTTGAAATCCATCTGAGGAGCAATGTAGGGAATCAAGCTCTGCAAACCCCCACGCTCACAAAACTGCATGTTAAAAAGGGAAACCTGACAGCCTGCTCCTCTCGAGGCAGTTTTAATGCTGCCCAGTCTTCAGTGACTTCAGGCAGAGTTTCACCCTGTGCCACACCTGCTGCTGTCTGGGCAATGTCTACTGACTCTCAATGAGACAAGAGTTTGCAGCATCCTCCCAAGTGCTCAGAAGACTCTTAATAAATAAATAACACCTGCTGTATCTCATAAACTCTGATCTTATTTTAAGATCACTTCATATTCCATTCTTGCCTTTCATATCCAGTGGTGCACCCCACTGCAGTCTTTATTTGAGACTGCAGGGCTGTTCTCAGGGGTCAGGAGAACATAATGGTCCTTCTAAAAGCCACATCTTGTGTGAGGACTCCCCAGTGTCCAACCTCAAACCACATGGTGCTGCGTGCACCCACCACACACAGTCTTAATATTTGGCTTCTTCAACAGAAGAGAGGAGTCCTGGCAAGATATTCAAGTAATTGGAGTTTTAAAACAGGCCTGGATATCTTTTTTTGTAAAAACATTAATATTGTTTAGAAGTGGAGACGCAAGGAGAGCCACCTGCAATCTCTTACAGGCGACTGGGAGAGCTGTGGTGAGTCACGTATTTACAGTATGGTCTACCCACACACAAAGGTCTTGTTGAAATTTCAGCTGCATACAATGAACCACAAGCTGATTTTGAGGTCACATTTTCCGTCCACTTACGATTCTCCTCTTTCTTTGAAAGGTTACCTGGGATTTGCAGCCCTTTTTACCAAAGCGTTGACATCTCTAATTTATTATTCACCTCTTATCTTACGGAGTGTTGAGTAGGTTTCACTCCATCAACCCCTCAGCAGAGGATCTGAGGACACCCACCCAACACACCCAGCAACGTTGCCTGCAGCCGCCCCCCGTTACCTGTGCGAATTTCCCAGTACACATCACCCCGTTCCAGCGCGGGACAGTGAGACACCCGGGATGACGCAGCAAGTAATTGTCTGCTCTGCCTATGAACGTGTCTGAGTACCCCGTCACCGAGCCGTCCAGATCATGGAAGATAGACGTTTTGTCGCCGTCATTATCGTTGTTTCCAAACCACTGGCCTGATCTGCCAAAAAACACTTTCAGTCCAACCTTGCAGGAGAAAATAAGAAGAAAAGTTACTGGTTAGCTCTAAGCAAGGACTTGGGTTTGCAGTGGTTTAACAGCCAGAACGCTTCTGCAGCTAGAACTAGAAAACTCTATTGTTTGAGTACGAGTTTTGTTTTGTCTCTTCTGTTTAGAAAAATTCCTGAGTTTATTGGTTTTCCCCCTCATTTCTTAATCCCAGGAGACATTTTCACAAGAATTAGACTTTTGGTTCTTTGAAATGCACCCGCACAACCATGTATTCCTTGAAATCACACAGCAATAAATTGTGCAGCGGCAAAAGGAAGAGGATGACTCAAAGGGTAGGGAAGTACTGGAAGATTATGAAATTTACTGAGGAATATCACAGCTGTGATGAAAGAAACAAAAATTACTAGACATTTGGTGAATTTTCTCATATATTTTCAATGACTGTTCCAAGCAGTTCTGTGAGTGCCATTTTTTACTAATTGTTCCCCTAAAACCTTATAAAACTCATAAAAGTGACAGAAATTCTCAGAATGGGCTCTTGTGCACATTCTAATATATCCTCTGAAGATTTTTTTCTTTTTTTTGAACGAGAAATAACAGGAAGCAGCATTATCCTCCTTATGCGTAGCTCTGTTTTCAAGATTTTTTGGTAGCTAAGTAAAAGAATCTGTGCTGATATGAAAATCCAGCAAAACAAGGAAACTGCAGATGTTCAGCAAAAAAGGCATGGCATATTTCAATGTCTGCGGAGAAAATTATTACAGCGTGTGACGATTAAGTTCTGAAGTAATCAAGAAAATAATTACTCCAGGTCAAGCACTCTGACTGAATCCTGCAGCAATGTGTATAAAAGCAGACAGCATAAATAGCGACTGGATCATGCTGACCCAAAGGACTGTAAGTTGTTCCATTTAGTCCAACTAATTTTAACTGAACCGTGCACACGAGTAAGAATTAGGGTCAGCAGGATTAGGCTGCAAGTTTGCTAAGGGCTTTAAAGGCTTTATTTTAACAATAATAAACAGAACAGCTTAGGAGAATAGGAGAGTCATTGTGATTCTGAGTTAGAGGGAAAGTCTCGTTGGCTTAAAAGAACTGACCACTGCAGCAAGAACTACTTGCAGAATAGAAGTCTTTATTCCTTTAAAATTAAATTAGAGCCTAGAACCATTTTTCTGCCACCTTCTTGTCTAAGAATGTGTCTCATAAACAAACACCTGACGCAGTCTCATTTAAAGGAGGCTCAAACACATGGAAATTTAATGTGTATTTTTGAGTGTTTTATAATCTTTTCTTACTGCATTGCAGGAAATTTTTGCCCAAAGGGCTACTTGGCAAAGTAGGAGGATCCCAAAAATTGGGTTGGGTGGGGTTTTTTTCATTTTAATTTATAAAAGAGGAGATATTAAAAAAATGTAAACACTGTGCAGCAGCTCAAAGCTCTATTATAAATATTTTGTGACAATGCACTTCTGGAGTTGAATATGAAAACAGGCACTTCACTGGGGAGGAGAACAAAGTCAGCTGTACTGCAAAACAAGCTAAGGCACAGCCCGTACAGCTTACATTTGATTAACATTCTCAGTGCTTCCATCCAGCAGCAGGCAGTTTTGGTGTTAACGCTAATCTGATCTCTAGCATTCTCCTCTAAAAAGTCTGAAAGTCAGAAATGAAACGGAAATGTTAATGAGCGGTGTTACTTTGGTACACTGAGGGATGGGGGTGCGCTGAGTTTGCAGTTACAGCTATGGCAACATATTTTATTTTTTTCTAAGTGAACACACACGAACAGAGAAAAGACTCAGCTCATCAGGTATGGCCATGTGGAGCTAGGAATGAGCTAGAAGAGGGTGCAGAAACAGGTCATTTCTTGCTACCGCACTACTATTCGGACATCTAATTTTTATTAGGTGTGGACTACCTGGGAGTGATATGGTATAAAGGCTATTTGAATTACTTGTCTGAAGCCTGACAAGGAGACCTGACAGGTGATGGTTATGTGAGTATGTAATCTCTTAGGAATATGCTAATTCAACCTGTCCAAAGGCAGCACACGTAACACAGCTGCAGACAAGTCCTGAAGACTGCAGTGAAAAACACTTTCTATATTAAAAATTAATAACGTACTGGAAAACATCAGAATAACTTGCAAATTTTTCTAAAATTCAAGCATTGGCACAAGCTGCCAAAAAAAAAGCCCTATCACTGTTATTTTAAGGAAACCACTTTCAACCAGTGTGAACCTTCCTCTATTTTACCACCTAAGGACTCTGCCCTCATTAGCATGGCTTTTACTCGGCTGGAATGATGCAAGCCCTCACCCCTGCAATTTCCCTTTGGTCAGGAGTCTCTTAGGGTTTGAGGTTTTTTTGCTGCCTTCTTTTTCAGGGGATAATAGACTTGCACTTTAACTTAGTGTCTGCTTTTCTTTTTCCCATCATGAACTATTTGCAAACTTCTGCTTTGATGCAGAAACCCAGCGCTAAGACAACACAGGCTAAACATAGTAAAGGCAACATTAGGAAGTGCCCATCTCTTAGCAAGGCAGGACTGCAATCCCATGGGAGCCGCTAAACCACAGCCAGGAGCCAGTTCTGGCCTCTCTGAGCTCCTCTGAGGTCCACGAAGCCACCCGACACAGACCGCTGGGATTTCTTTGGCACAAGTAATTTCAGAGGTGCCGTAGCGTTGGCATAGCTAGGAGTAGAACAGGCTTGGATCCTGGCTGCGGGGAAAAAATAACCAGATGAACTATTAGCAATGGATGTGAACTGGGACAGTTAGTGAGTCTTCTGCACCCACTGGAGGGGGCCTTGTTTGTGGGAGCCCAAAAGGACACGTACAACCTCTTGCTCCTCACCTCACTCTAGAGGAGCTGTGCAGGAAAAGGACTGAGGGGTGAATAGGTTGCTATTTTATGACTAAAAAGAGATATGCCAGGTCTTCTTAAAAAATGACGCACAGGTGTCCTGTTTGGGTCTGGCTCTGTTCTGGGCTGGAGCCACCTCCTTTGAGCTCTCCAAGTCCTACTGACTGACAGTAACCAGATCTACAGGAGACCACAACCATCAGCCATGCCCTCAGCTGGCTTAAGACCAGCTACTGCTTCCACTGCTTTGAAATAACTTTTAAAAAGCATCCTTTTTAAAACAAACAAACAAACAAGCCTAGCGATAGTGTTGCTATTGATAAATGCTCAGATATCTTAATATGTGAGATTTAGGTTTGTCAACAGAAAGACAACTAGAATACTTTTTCTGGAGCACAATGTTTGGGTCTTCTGTTCTGCTTCACTGTTATTTTTATGCTGGAATTAAACAAGATCTGACTGGTTTTATTATTTTGTTGTCCAACCAATCTGCTGATTAGTCTGAATAATTATACAGTTATTCCTTCAGCATAACTAATAGTTTTGTCATCACTATACAATTTGCAGTAACATTTAATTTCTTCTTAAAAAACAACTGTGAAAATGATTGTCCTTTAGGGAATTAGTACTTAGCTACCTTTCAAAAAGTAATAAAATGAAGCCTGGAGATGGAAGATTAATTAAAACAGTCTACAGGCTCTATCTTAACCAGTCAAAGACATATTGTCCCATGTAGCAATTAGGTACAAAACAACAAACTAACCATGGTCCTTCAAATCTGAAATCAAATTTAGCACACCTGGGTTCAATCCAGATAAAACAGAATTAAAGCAAAAAGTGCTGGGATGCAGGTGGTTACCGACATAAATGGTTTTTTAAGTTGGCAAAATACCAACTTCAGAAATGGATATTCCTTGGAAATGTATATACAAGAAATAATTATTGGGATAATGTCATTAGTTTTTTGGTAATGGACTGACATTGTATTATTTTAATTTGCTTTGCAGAAGTATTTAGTAAGTGTTCTGACCATTTTTACCTTGAAAACCTCAGATCTTAAAGGCATTGCAGTACTAAACTGCCTCTCAAGACAAAAGATGCTAGGATATTTAACAGGCTCTTGGCCTCAAATGATGCAACTGTATTAAAGAGCTGCATTTTCAGCCATTCAAGAGGCTGAAAATCATCCCCTTTGCTAATGTGCACAGATATCATCTGTCTGAAACCATCCTGTTGGACAGAGACTTACACCCATTACTGGAGGAAAATTTCCACTCTCTTCCAGTCCATGGATCAAACTTTTTCATGCTACATTTTTCTCTATGCTCCCCTCCCCAGTTCCAGGTTGATTTTTTTCATTCATGTTCCCCATGAACACCTTATAACCATTTCCCCAAGGGAGGACATAAAGAAGGTATAGCAAATTAGCCCTTATTCTTGTTCCAAAGCTCCCTGAAGCATCTAAAGTAGCTGAGATCTCTTTACCGAAACACACAGGAACTGTGTTTTCTTTAGAGGAGCAGTCAAGTGACTGCGGTCAACATCATCCTTTCATGAAATACCTGTTGTTTAAAGTGTATCAGAGAGGGGACAGACAAACTAACTGCTTGCCAGAGGGAATGATATTGGTCAATCCCAGGGCGATGGAAATTTCCTCAAAGTAAAGCCAAACCTCAAGCCAAAGTTACTACAGTTCATGGACATCCTAACAAGCACGGACCTTGTTTGAAAAAAGCTAAGGAAAAGTTATGATCCCTGGGAGCGAGTCAGGTGGAATCTATCATTTCCCCAGCCAGGCATGCAGGGTCATGATGCCTGCAGGAATCCAGGACAAGGACAGGAATTGCTCAGCATCCTACGGCTCATGTCAAGGCAGAGATACAGAGCCCCATTCTGCTGTCACTGCTCAAGGGAGGTTGTGCTCAACAGGAATTTCACTGCTGACCTCAGAAACTGGGCCACGGCTTTGCTTCTAAGTGCATTTGCTGATTTCTTTGTAAGAATTGTATTGCAGCTTGCTGCCTCCTGCCATCTCATTTGTGTTCCCCTCAACCTCTGAGGCCAGGTCCTCACCAGGTCATCAGCATACAGAAGCTGGTAATGCTGCACCAAGAGCAATGTTCTGCATTTTCTGGTTACAAGGTGAAATCTTCCCCTAATGCAGATTTTTTAATGTATGTCTGCCCTGGCATAAGTTACCTTCACATTTTACTGGCTTATACATAACCTTAAAAAAAAAAAAAAAAATCTGTTGCAAAATGAGTCAATTGTATGTGCCACTGTAACATGCATCACTGCCTGGAAATTCCTGCTCTAGGATAGATCTCTCATCACTTCTAAAAACATCAAAACCTTGCACATCTAACAGCATGCATTCCGGCTTTTCTTACTTACACTTTTCTCCATCAGGATCTGTGACACGTTATTCTGGGGACTTATCTGCCAGGAGTTTTTCATGAAGAACCCAATGGCACTTGAGTATCTGTCAACAGTCGGGGTGAATTTCTTGAAAGTGCACTGTGCCATCCTGACAGGCCCATCATAAATCTGGAATCCACGAATAGGGAATGTCCTGTGTGATTTAAAAACCAACACAATCCTGCGTTAAAAGCTTGGGTAAACTCTGAATCTTCTCCTGAAGGCACAGAAAGATACTAACAAGTAGCTAAACCACCTTTCCTTTCCCAAAACTAGGATCTGGATGCTCATCACACTGTTAATGAAAGATGAAACTGCTGAACATCCTCTACAGGATAGGGCTCAAGAACTGAAAAAAAAAAAAAGACTTGTGAGCTTGCCTAAGGCTTGTAAGCTGGGGTAAAACAGTTCAAAATCCTTCTCCTCAGCCACCCAGGGGTTCATCACCACGAGGAAGACCCAAGTGTGTGGCAGCATTGCCAACAGCGATCAGTAGAATTTAGGTTTGGGGAAGCACACCTTGTTACGGGCATGTGGGCAGGCACCACGCTGGCTAGACAGGAGGTTGTGCTGCTATCAAAATAGAAAATAACATACAGCTATTGAAAGAGAAATACGATGCAGTAATGAAAAACGGTTTCTCCTTTGTCAAACCAGCCATGTTTGCCCAGCTATGCTGGCAGGAGGGACGGTGGCACAGTGTACGGGAGCTGCGCCATCGGCTCGACACTGTGCTGTTGAAGCACTACACAAAAGCCATTTGGTATCTCTCAGATTCTCTAATCTATTCTCCACTGACTAATAAATTAAGCAGAAAATTAAATCAAACACGTTCACTCGAGAACACTCTCAAGCTGTTGGCCTGAAGAGTGAGTTTATTCGGATGCTTATTATTTCTGGCCTGTACAATAATTTAAACACCCGGTATAAATTACTCATTGGTAGTCACATTCATTCCTGAGGCTTTTCTTCTAGCTTATGCGAACGCCAAGAAGAAATGGCAGAAGAATAACTCACTTATTTCTGGGCAGTGTTCTGTATTTTCCATTTGCCCCTTTTCCCCAGTAGCTGTTTTGGCCTCCCTGGGAGCCAAAGTTGCTGCTTTCTCCAACAAAAATGGAGCGTGTAACCTCCAGGCTGGAGCCTTCATCTGTTGGGAAAGTCCCATCACTACAAGCAAAGAAACACCAGGTAACTATGCAGCACAGCACAACCAATTAATTAACATTTTTAATTACACCACAGACAGTAGAATTTCTTTCCTAATTTGGAAAAAAGTGCATGCACCGGTATAACAACTTGCTTTAAAAATCTTTTTAGAAACCAGAAAGTTAGTACCGATAATATAATTTCTCTGTATTGAGTTGCTTTGTAAATTTTTAGCTACAGCCCTGAAGTGAGAGCCAGACATCACCGATTCTCATTGCCTGCAGCGGGCTTTGGATATGGCATATTTTTGCAGGTCTTTTGCAAGAGAGGTTGAGATGAGAGCAGCAGGACCACGGTAGACACCAGCAGAGGAGGCAGGAGACCTGCTGTGCCACCACATGGGACCATCCCAGCCACCCTGCCCCGGCAGCACACGAGCTATGGGCGATGCTGCTCCACCGGGCTAGAGCAGAAGAAAAGTCTCCCTGAACGCAGAGCCGAGTGTTTAGTCTACTGGTTCAGGACCTACCATCCAAAAGGAAATATTCAGCAATTACGATGTATTCCCCAGACGTGCTGAGGCAAAGAGAATTAAAGGCTAAATTGCCCCTTCTATTAACGGCTGTGCAGGGAAGACTTGATGTGGTCTGGGAGGGAAATGTGAGGTTTTCTCGCATCTTACAGGAATTACCAGGGGAGTGTCTCAGCTTCCATTCTTTAGCCTCTTACATTGGGGGGAAAAAACTGGAAGAAGGTCGATTTTCAGAAATTACCTTGCCAGAGTGAGTCCAATTCCATTGTCTGAAAACCTGGGACAGAAGAAACACAACGGTGTAAATGAGGAGGAATGTCTGCAGGGAATTTGGCCTACAGACCTATTTATGTCTGCTGCGAGGGGAATGATATAACACGTAATTACAGTAACCTACCCCGAGTTGCGGAAAATAATGTCGCCGCCCCTGGCCCAGGCCCCATGGTCATTATTTTTGAAAGCAATAAGACCATCAATCACGGCAGGAACTCGCGGCTTTTCAGGATCAGCATCTTGATGTGGGCGAAACCTGAAGCAAGGAGCTTAGTTAATGTGGGACAGGAGACATAGGCACCGACCTCAGACAGGAGGTCATGCCTGGCAGACCTCGTTTGGCTTCCAAATATCAGCATGATGGGCCGAAAGAGGTGATACGCCCTGGATCAGAGCCAGGCTATTAGCTTGACTTCATCTCTGTGCTTTGGTACAAAGCAGAAAACAAGAAACATTCATAAGGGTGAAATTCTGGCCCCAGTGAAATCAACAGGAGATTTCTTGCTAGACTTCAATGGCCCCATGGTTACTCCTTAATTTGATTCAGTGTGATTTTAGAGGCATAGAAAACATTTTTCCCAAGTCACTTGGGTCCTTTTGTTATTGTCCTTACAAGGCCCATTGAGAATCCCTGGATTGATGCTAGAAAATCAATTAGGCACTTTCAAGAATCTCATTCAGCAAAGATAACGGAGTAATTGGAGCTGCTTTCCTTGCATGTACAGACCAGACCTCCATATGCTTCTGTCTCTGCTGCAAGAAAAACTGCCATAAGAAAAAAGGATTTGCCCTGGGAATTGGATGCTTTTCAATTACTTTCGGGCTATTTCTTGCCACACTGGCTGTTAATGGCAGACTTGTGCCGTGTTTGGAAAAAAATCACCTTTTTTTTTTTTTTTTTTTTTTGAACCCCCTTTTTTTTTTTTTTTTTTTTGGAGTCTACCGTCACCTCCTGCTTCTTCCAGCTGATGTCCTGACGGACGTGCTACCTCAGTGCCCCCCCCAGTGCCTGGGGAGGGACGTCTCACAAAGGGAGGCAAAGTCGCCCTTTCCTTTCAGCCATACGGGAGCACTGAGAGGGTGTGATGGAGGGGGAAAAAAGCCAAGGCTTGACCAGAAGCAGTGGCTGATTTCTGCCACATCCTCCTCACACAGACCCACAGGGCTGCAGTGAGTGAGAAAATGGCCTTAATTTACCTGCTTTCACTCTGCGAAAGGAAGCTCAGAGATTTTTAAAGCAGTTGACAAAAAGTTTTGAGGCTACTTTATTTTCCTCATTTAATCCTAGATCAGTCTCAGCAGTCTCTTAGGTCATCTTTCAGATGTAAATTCTTTTAAGCAATTAATAAGAAATGTTGGGGTTTACAAACTCACGAACAGAATAATGGGATCTGGATCCCTTTTCACATGCTTCATTGCTTAGTCCTCATAACCCCAAGTGCACATCTATCATTTTTGGTCAGCAATAACACAAACAATTCAGTGCATAGCTATGAAGTTTTTGCCTCTGCACATCAGAGATAGCTTGTGTGCTTTTTTTCACATGCTCCAGCCATAATGAGGCATTAATGATCTGCTAAATACAATGCAGAAGCCAAGCAGCAATACGACTATCCAAAATACTTAGCCATACAGCATGTGCTTACCTGGCATTATCGACAGTGAGATACTCTCTGGGATCTTCAGCGCTGGCTCTCGTTGTCTTTACTCCTTTCCCAATAAACAAACCAGCCTGAAAATGTACACGACTCCAGTTATTTTAACAGACCGCTCAACAGAGACCACAGAGCCCAGATTTTTATCAATGAACGTGGGCAGCCAGTGCGTGCAGGCACGGCGAGAGGCTGCAGCCTGGGCTTTCTCTTCCCTTTCAGTGTCACTTGGCACCGCTCAGCATGACTTTAGCACAGGATGTAGCACGCTGAAGTCAGGACAGAGCCTGCCCTGCCATGTGTTATGCATCAGCATCTTGGGCTGCCTTCTGACCACAAAGCAAGGCACTGAACTCCCACTCTCTCTCTCTCCCCCTCGCAGAAAGCAATAAGGGACTCTGCCAAGCTCTTGATAACTTTCTGGAAAAAGAGTGTTGTTAAGAAGTAAAGCTTTAAATAAAGAGTGACGAGTCCCCCGACAGTCAAAAGAGAACATGAGCCGCTGTAGCTAAGTTAAAGACTTTGGGCTAAAGCAGCAGCTGTCATGTACCAAGATGTAAAATATACAAGGCACAGAGAACAGCACTGATTTCAATCTAGAATCCTGAGAAATAAGTTAAAAATGCTTTTTATAGCTTACAGGTTACATTTTCATGTAAACAGTCTATTTGGGGGATGTGTTTTTCTTGGAATTACCCTTGAATTTTTGGTCTCATTTTTCAAAGGTGATGAGCAGACCCTGGCAGAAACAAATTTTACTCACCCCCTATATCCTTGAACCACTGCGGCCAACAGCAGTGCTCAGTGTCCTGCCTGTCATTCCTTAAATCTCACTTAGTGGTAGGCGTACCTAAGGCCTGGGCACACCCCCTCTAACACAGACACACAACTGAAGCACCTGAAATGGGAGCCCCGTTCTGCTCAGCTCCCTCTTTGATCATTAGGAAGCGCATCATCCCCAAAAGCTCTTGATTCTTGATATCAAGATTGTCTCTTGATACAGTGTTAAAAGACCACCATCAAAACATAAAACACCCACGATCATCTGATTTTAGAGCACCATACATGATCAGCCCTACGGATACTATTTTATTGAGAGTAACACATAAAAATCACCCACGTGCCTTGAAATTGGAGTGGACTCTGTTGTTGTAAAATACTCCCAAGGGAGTATGTTCAGCCTGTCCCTCTGGATATTGCCCCTCGGACTGTCCGGTTGGAACCCGGTGGAAGATGTACCATATCCCAACATCCTAAAAGACAAAGGGAGGTCTGAGAAATGGGACACCACACTTAAGGATCCAGGTTATCCTGGGGATTTGGGGTTTCCCACTATGCTGGCCAGATTTCTATCCTGACCCTGCCAAACACGTGTGAGTCCCAGGGGACGCACAGCAGCCCATGCCCTTACACCTCCCGACTTAGTCTTTGGCACGGGCAGTGCCAACCCCGGGGCACATACGTGGGGTTTAAAAATGCACATATTGTGGGTGAAATTCAGGTGGTTTATCAGAAAACATAGCCTTCTCTATACAGGCACATTAAACACAAACATGATTTGGGTAAACATCAGAGATAATGACAAGGAGAGAGTATATATTTATATATATAAATATAAAATTTTATTGGGCATT